TCTATGTGTGTGTGTGTATGTGTGTGTTTTTATTTAACGCCTGGTTAGTCCATGTGCCTTATGGGCATGTGATCTAGTAGAGTCTGTGTCAAACTATAAGATGGGTAGAGCTGCATCTGTAGATGACTACCTATCTAGTAGCTATCTTATAAATAAGACAAAAGAGTTGTGTATTGCTGTATCAGCAGAGCCCATGAGTCAATTATCATAGAGCAGAGGTTTTGAGAGGTTTTAGATTTGTGAAAGAAAGATAGAGAAGATAGATAGAAAGAAAGACAAGAAAGAAAAGAAAGAGAAGAAAAGAGAGAAAGAAGAAGAAAATAATGAGAAAGACAGAGACAAGACAGAGAAGAGAATGAACTGTGAAATCTGATCTGAAGGTGCATGACAGCATATTGAACAGATATTCTGATAAAAGACTGTTTCTCTTAGTCAGTTATTGAATTCTAGAGCCTCATGTGAGGTTGTCAGTATCTTGCAGAGATTGTAGATAGACCAGCACTGCTTTGCTGCTTTTCTTGCAAGAGTGCAATAGTAGAAATGTTCTGAGATTTTGCTATGTTCACACCAGCAGTAGCACTCTGCATCTTCATGCTTAAGGTGACTGTAATAGACTGCAAAGTCTTCATGATCTGATCAGACAGCATAGAGCTTTTCTAATGTGAAGTGTGAAAGTTTTACCTCTGTTGAGACTCTCTTTAGTGAGATCTCCAGCTTCATATAGCATTTGAGCTGATTTTTGACCCAGTAGTTCTCAAAGACCTGTGTGGTTTGTTCCATAGTATGTTACTCTATATAAGCTAGAGTGTCTATGCTGTCAGATTGAGATATCATGCTTGCATTTGCTGTCTGTGCTGCAGCTGCTTTGGCTTCAAGATCTGTTTTTTCATTATCAGTCATGTCTGTGTGGTCTGGGACTCATCTAATGATCATTCTGCTCTGAGTGATCAATAAGAGCCTATCTCTGCTCTGCCAGACCTTTATGACTTTCAGAAACTGCATGAAGACCTGTTGACTAGAGGTGTTTGACACAGATTCAAGTGCTCATGCTATCTTCAAATTGTCTAGACAAATATAGATGTTACTGATAAACTTCATCTGAGATGAAATGATGACTTTCTTTAGACTCTGCAGAGCTGTCATTGTCTTTGCATCAAAGACCTCTGCTTTATTCATTGACAGGATTTCTGTGAAGATTAGATGATATTTACTACCTCAGCATATAGCTCATTCTGCATCAATCATCTGCACTAGTCATGCACTGAGGGCGCTCTATCTGTGAATCATTGATAAACATCACCAGATCCAGGGGATTGTGTTGTTGTAGCCAGCTCTTAAAGTCTTATGCTGTCTATTTCTTTGTGCAGTCTGTCTCATACTCAATCTGCAGATCTTCTTTTTTGAGAAATCTTATTCAAGAGAATGTGAGTAGAGAATTATATACTTCTATCTCATTAGCATGACTGGACACTCTAGACAGATGTATGGTATAGAGCTTGATGATAGCTACTTTATTAGAGTATCTCACTAGCAGATGCCTCTTGTCAAGCTTTTTGATTCTTACTGCAAATACAGCACATCAGTTGTCTAGTGTCTCTTTCATTGACATGATTTCTAGCTCACAATGTAGAGCTGAAATGAGTGTGATCTTGTAGACTGACAGTGCCTCTCACAAAGCATCTCTAAGAACTAGATCTATCTTTCTGACTAGACAATTCATTCAATTGAAGATTTTCTTTCCCTTCTTCATTCATGTGACTTCAGACCACCAGGCCTCTGCTTCATAGCAAAGCACAGAGAGCACACAGATCTGAATGAATTGTCTAAGCAGTTGTACTGAGATGCCTCTTGCTGTGTTGCTTAGTGCCTGTATGTCATTAGACATCTGTCATGCCTTAGCTGCCATGGTCTCCATGTGTTTCTTGAAGCTCAGTTTTCTATCTAGTCAGATTTCTAGATATCTTATGAAGCTTTTCACTGCATTTGCTGTAATAGAGTGAGTGTCAGATGTTGTTTCAAAATCAATTGAGAGGTTTGAAAGAATTCTGCACTGTGTGAAGTGTGCTATCTCAGTTTTGACAAAATCAAATGTTAGTTCTTCTTTGCTGACTCAATCATTTAGCAACTTGAAATTCTTCTGAAGAGTAACAATATTTTCTTCAAGAATGATTCCAGCACTAAGCAGTTCTAGATCATGTGTGTAGTCTGAGCATGTATGTCTTCTTTGAATAGTTTCTAGAAAAAACAGAGACTGAATAAACAGCATGAATAGAATAGATGAGACTGATGAGCCTTGTGAAAGCTCTGCTGAGATATCAAAGAGCTCTTTCAAAAGTTCATTCAATCTAATCCTGTCTGTGCATTCTATCATGAAGCTTTTTACTCATTTAATTAAATTTGATAATCAGTCTTGCTCTTGCAATCTTCACAGCATTCTTTCTCTAAGTACAGCATCAAAAGCACTCTTGATGTTCAGAGTAAGAAGAGAGACTACTTTTCTATGAGCCCAGGCTTCCTCTATATCATGAATCATTGCTGTCACTAGGTCTGAGGCAGTCTGCTCAGAGAGAGCTTCTAAGTGCTGAGAGTGGACAATCTTCTCTTGTATAGCTGTTCAGACCAGTCTATGAGCTACCAGGCATTTCAGTCCCTTCCTCAACATTGAGAGAAGGGCTATAAGCCTGTAGGATCACAGAAGTGTTGAATGTCTGTTGACCTTAGACAGCACAACCAGTGTGACATCTTGAAAGAAGATTGAGTGCCAGCCAACTCTAAGACAGACTCTGAACAGTCTTTTCATCAATATCTTAATATGTGATTATATCTTTCATAGCACCTCTGTTGGCACTCCATCAGTTCCTGAAGTGGTATTACCCATGTTCAGCAGAGAACTTTGTATCTCATGTGCTGAGACAATAGAAAATGATAATTTGACAGATGATGAATTGAACCAGTTAACTGGAATATTCTCTCTGCTTGCAGCCTTCTGTAAAAGCACTCATTGCAGAAGGTCTCTTTTCTCTCTAGAAGTTGTTCATGTTCACTCAGTCTCTTCATCTACAAGAGAAGGGGAATAAAAAGAGTAAGTTGAATAGACTCATCTGATTATCTTAAAGATATCTTTTCTCACTGAGGCCTCTGCTATCTTGTCTTGCCAGTATTCTCTCTTGACTTTTCTGATGATTCTGACTACATTGCTTTTTGCTTCTCATAAAAAACTAGAGTCTAGGTGCTGTGCACAATGTAGTGTTATCACTGCTTTCTGACAGTTCTCATTTCACCATGGCTGACCTGTGTCTTGCTCAGTGCTCTTCTTGATGGAACTTTTCAGAGAAGCTATTAGTGCATCTATGATATCTTTAGTCAGAGCATTCAGCTGATCTGTATTGAGATACTCTGAGATATCACATAGTTTATCTAGTTTTGACTTATAGACCTTCAGCATCTGATTAAAAACCTTCTCATCCATGGTGTCAAGACAGAAAAAATGAGATAGTCTGTCAGGCCTTGCACTCTGTGAAAGACTGATTTTGATGAGAAGAGTCTGATGATCAGAGGAGGTGTAAAGAGATCTGTTCATCTGTGTGTCCACTTTTTTGATAACTAATTCTGAGATGGCCCAGGCCAGGTCTATCATGTTTTGCCCATGTGTGGAGGTGTCTAGATTCATGATGAGAGTAAAGTTGAAATTCATGATTCATTGCAGAAATGATTCCACTCACATGCTTGAAGACACTTCTGGTTGCCACACAGGGTGCTTGATATTGAGGTTGCCAGTGAGGAGTAACAGAAGTGCTGAGACAGATCAGAAGAGAAGACAGTCCACATCTTGTTCAGAATCCTCTGTGTCTGAAGATGCATTGTATATGTTGACTGTCTGAAGCTGTAGATCCCAGGTCTGTATGTGCAGCATGTGAATGTTCTGGTTTTCTACTCAGAGGCCTGGGACTGCATGAGCATAGATTTGTGAGTATTTACACACATAGATGAAGACCTGTGACTTTCTGTCTCACTTTTCAATTGGGGCAAAGCAGTTGAATGCTGGATGTTTTTTGAAGATGTGTTGACTTAAATTTCTGTGAATTCAGAGTTTCTGTATGAGAAGAATGTCAGTCTTTCTTTTAAACATTAGATTGAGAGCTGTCTTGTGTGCTGAGCTCTCTTTTTCTACATTGACTTGTATAATCTGCAGGAATTGTGAAGATCTAGAGTTCTTCTTCATTGAGTAGCTGAAAGAAGAGTGTTGTTGTGTGAGATGATATGTTGAGTGTTGCATTTGATGTTGAGTTGAGCATCATGTCTAATGCTGTGTCTGATGCTGTGCTCAATGCTGTGCTTGATGCTGTGTTTGATGTCAGTGTGAGATTAGATCTACACTCAGTAGAATCATTCAATCTCAGATCTGCTGATGATTCTCAATCACTGCATTTGCTGTTATTTGTCTTGATCAAATATGTCTTACTCTGTGCATTGCAGATATTTCTCAGCTAATTTCTTGAGTGTCTTTGAACAGTCTCATTCTTTATCTCTGATCTGATGGAGCAGGATGAATCATCTGTGACATGTAATTCAAGACAGTTAGTGCAGCAATTGAGGTATTCACATGCTTCATTCTTATTATGACAGAATGAATTTTCTTTTACATGATTCTTAGAACTGCATTTTTTGCATTGAGGGATGTGAAAGCAGTATCTCTTTTGATGAAATCTTCAGAATTTGCTGCATTGTTGTATTTTGATCTTAGATGTCTTTCTGATCACTGATCTTTGATATTCATATAGTTCTACTTTTGATGGTAGGTTTACTGCTGTCTCTTGTGAAAAGTGTAATATAAAAGTGGCTGTTGGGTTTTCATAGTGTATTTTTGTTCAGTGACTCTGGACAGACTTGATTCTGATTTGAAGTGTGAATTCTTCTGTCATGAATTCTGCTGAGAGATGCAGAATTTCATCATCATAGTCACTAATCTTTATAAGCAGCTCAGAAATCAGACAGATGATTCAATGTTCTTTCTTCTCTATCTGAGCATTGATGAGAGTGGCTGCTAAAACATTCTTTTGAGCTAGCAGAGTCTTCATATCTTGCAAACTTCTAGAAATGATGACAATGCCTGAAGAAATAACTTGAACTGCTGTGATGACTGCTGTCAAAGACCTCAGAAGTTCAGTCTTCAGCTTTCTAAGAGTAGCAATTGAGCTTGCTTTGTGAGCTAGATGATCTGAAGGCAGACATGCAAGAATTTGTAATGTTTTTTCTTCTCTGAGATTATTTTTAAGCAGAGGTTTCTGCAGTATGATTGCTGATGTTTTTATTATATTGATGCTGTCTACAGCTGTCTTTGCATAGATAGAAGCTTTTGCATCATTTGCATCAATAGAGTCAGCAGACTTGATTGTGATGAACTGCTTAGCTATTTTTAGACTTTCATTGTATCAGTTCTTGACTAATACCTTCACAGCAGCTTCAAGAATTAATGCTTTTGATAGATCTTTTGCCTTCATGACATCTAGATCTTCTTCAATCTGATCAAGCATATTTGCAGCAGCTAGTGCTTCTGCATGAGATTTCTGTGTCTCAGCCTTGTGAGCAGCTAGGAGATTGCTAGCCATCAGATCATATAGATTGAGATGTATTGATGTGACATTTCTGCTCTTTGAGCTGTCTGCTGATGTAGAGGAGCTTGAAGGCTCCATGTCATTCAGTTCACATGTGCAGTGGGCAATTGAGGTGAGGAGATGAGATCTCTTGAATGGACAGTGTATGGAGGAGCAAATGCATGTCAAGACTTAGAATGCATTTAGTGGTGTTGAGGGGCTGAGTGCACTGGCAGTGCTGCATTAGCACACCATCAGACTTGCTGCCTGAGGGGATGAAAGAGAGCTTATAAAGATGTGATCAGAATTGATTAAAATGTTTTGAAGAGAGAAATGTTCAAAAATGATTCTCTGCTTGAACCTTCTGTTCAGAGAAGCTAGCTAGATTATTGCTATATTACATACAAGCAATCACGTGTGGGCGGGGCGGTCGCTAGGGCAACGCCACCCAGGTGGGTGCTGCTACACCCCCTCTCACATCATCATGTGAGATCTTGAATACCATATATGAAAAAGAAAAACTAGCTATGTCATTCTCAAATCCATTCAAATCATGCTACATACATTAAATTTTGACATTTTTGCTTTTTCTGTCTGTAAAATCAAGTAAATCAAGAAATTGTTGAAATGTTACTGTGCTCAGAGATTTGACCAATTCATTTACTACCATTTCTCCAGTTGAGAAGTATTCAATTAAGATTATTCCATTATTCAATTGACTGCAGGTGTAATGAAATCATGTGTTGATATGTCTGCTTCTAGCAGTGATTGTGACTACATACAGCAGCCTATAGTGACATTTAAGTCAAATGGGTTTTTTTGATAATTTTTATATTAGTGTTATCATGAACACGCATTAATCATATTCATTTCATTTGTAATCAAATAGATCTTGTTGATTATAGCTTCTCTGACTCTATTGAATACATGAGTGGCAAGAATAAAGATAAGAATAGAAGGTAAGAATAAAGATAAGAATAGAGATAAGAATAGAGACAAGAATAGATCTGTGAGAAGTAAGACTTCTTATGAGAATAATAAATAGCAAAACAATTCTTCACATTAATATCAATCTTTACAGAGTAAACTAAAATCTATCAAATATTTTACTAATCACCCTCAACTCTGATGTCAAAAGAATCTATCAATCAATCTATCAATCACTCTTGACGCTGATGCCGAAATCTTGTCCCATTTGCTGGTAAGTCAAGATAGTTTGATTGTGTTTCAATTTTACTAGAATGACTTTTTTCCATCTCTGTCACAGTGTTTTCCATCTTCTTCTTTACATTTTTCTTCTCTGTCTCTGATTTCAGCTTTTCTCACTTGAACAATAGATTCTTCTCAAGCTTTATTGTCTTCAATTTATTAACTTTGTCTTTGAATTTTGTAGGGATTGGGAACGGCTGTCTTCATTTGATAAGATTTAGAATGGGTAAATCAACTGAGAGAGCATGTTCATGTTTGATCACTGATACAGAGATATTCTCTTCTTTGACTTTGATATATGATGATTTGACTTTGATATTCTTCAGTTCTGATGGTTGTTTGATGGGGTGATTGGACTCATCATAGATAACAAGACAAATGTGAATAATTGTAGTTGTTAAGGTTGATGAGTGTGCTTTCTTAAATGAACTCAATAACTTTTCCAAATCTAACATTCAAACATCAGAAGTGAGCATAACTGCACCATTCTTTCCTGTAACTGAGGCAGAAATGAATACATCAACTGGAGAAACAACAGTAAGAATATTCTTTCAAGCTGTATCAAGTCTGGCAGTGATGATTTCTAGAAAATCCTTCATTGTAAAAAACACACAATCTGAGTAGATTTCATTTTAAATTTTTTGAATTGACTCTCAGTTATAGTGTGTTTATAGTTTGGTGTCATTGTATTCACACTTTCAAATATGAATAAGAATTTTGTAGGATTTTCGCAAGGATGACAGTTGATTCAGCTCAGATTTGATTGCAGGTTCTTTTATACATGATGTACATTGAATTGGTGTACTGGCATTAGAGGTCATTTGTTGAACTTTCTGTGTTTTTTGAATGACCAGTTGATGTGCTCATTGAGGAGGTCCAGGATCAAGAATTGTGGCAGAGAGTGACAGTGTCAGAGCTGAAGGACTGGGACTATCTTCAATGACAATGATTTCATCATTTATTGAAGAGATGATAGAGGATTTCAGTGTGAATGAATTGACTTTGTCATAATAAAAACAGACAGCTTCACTATTACAGTGTGCTTCATGAGAAAATCCAGGACAATTGAGGCAGAATGGTGTCCACATAGTGAAGTAAATCAAGATGATAATAAACAATGAGTAGAAGAACAGGAAAATTTGAGTATGTGTATATATATATCTGTTTTTGAGAGTAAGAGAGTGAGAGAGAGAAGGTGTGTATATGTGTGAATTTCAGTAACTTGATTAGTATAATGATTAGTATGATAGCTAACCATTTTGAGAGTGTTAGACATGATGAGTAATATTATATAATATCTTCAAAGAGTGTACACACAACAGAATATTACTGTATCAATTAAATAAGAAAACTGTTAATTGATATATATTTTAATACTGTCAATAACTTTAGATATGACTATATAATGATAAATGATTATAATTTTCAAATGATAGAGTGTTCAAGTATATGAATACATACATTGTATGTATATATATATATCTAGTTCAAAATCCACATAGCACTATAATATAAAATTTATAGAATAATTGTTATTGTAACAAACTTACAAAGTATATTCTTGAGAATATTAGTAGAATACTTAGTATAATACTTATTCATATTCAATTTAATTACATCTGTGATACATCTGACTTAAGATTCTCACTATTCTCAGCAGAGATATCAGACTTGATATCTTCACTATTCTCACTATTCTCATCATAGATTTTCATTTCTATCACATTATCAAAATTCATCTCATGCTCCTGCAATTGCTCTGTCAGCCAGTTCAAAGCACCAGTTGACTTTTCAGATTCCTGTAGAATAGAAACTTGTTGAGATCTTATATGATCATGTACAAGTTTTCGCAGCTGAAGATATATTATCTTATGTATACATTCACTCTGTTCATTGACAGCTGCAGCAGTGACTCTTTCAGAAGAAAATCCCAACTTTGAAATCTGATTCTGATATCAATTCTTTATCTCAAGTGGTAGATACTCATTAATATCTGTCAAGTATTAGTATTTCTATGATATTAGATCAACAGAGATATTAGTAATGAAGATATTACATACCCCAGTTTTCAAAATGCATATGAAGTTCTGAAAGCACTTGTGAATCTGGTTTTAAACCATGCTGTAATGCATTATCAGAATGATAATAGAGCTTCCAGAGCCATTCATATACCTCATCAGATCATTTACATTGAGTGCGAATTTGATGATTATTCCAGACTCCCACATAGTTTGTCACCTATTGTCGAATAATTGGCATATATATAGCGAGAAAGGCAATACAATTGAATACTGTATTGGTGTGATATAGACCTGCATGACTGAGATTCAGAAAATAGCACTGAGAAATGATTAGTATAAAGATTAGTATAATAATTAATAGCAAGAATATGGAATTTCATACTCTCCAGTAATTTGTCAACTGTTTTGCAAGTTGTCCCCACCAAGATTCAATTCATTGATTTAGTGTACTTGTTCCAAATCAATAGCACTCATTCAAAGAAACATTTGAATCAGTTGTCTGATGTAGTTTGAGTTGTGCAGCTGCAATCATTGAAGTTTCAATTCCTCAATCTGAACGAATAACCTGAGGAAAAGTATCAGTGGTTTGAAGAACATCAAGAAATTGTCAAAAAACAGAAACAGCGGTACGGTTTGTGATTCCAATATATATCCATACTATATATCAAGAATATGCATCAATTGCTGCATAGATTTCAATTCCCCAATGTTGAAACTTGCAATAACTATCAATAGACCAAAGATAATTTGGTCCAGGAACAATGTAGGATCCTCAGTGACGTTGGAGATCATTTAGTCAACATGTAATTCCATCTGAATCAAGCAGCTGAACTGTTTTGAATAGACAATCTCTGATTTTATTAGTATTATATTAATCATTATATTAATCAAAACATATTGTGAAATGCTATGCCCTTGCTGTCTAAAATAAGTATACAGATATTCTCTTTCAAAACTCTGAATAAATTCACTGTTAAGCTCTTTCTGTAGAGTAGATATAAGCTCTTTCTGCATCTCATCATTCTCATAGTCATCTCTTCACTGATGAAGTTTCAATTGCTACTGAATTTGATGAAGCTCACATATAGAAAGTTGAGACTCAGAATGCTTTTGTTGAATAATTGATAGAATATCAGCATTCTGCAAGCCTCATGAAAACAATTCTTGAATAAGATTTTGAATTGATTTATCAGCTTCTCATTTCTTGATTTTTTTAATGTTTCATTTTCAAAGACAATGAACAAGAGTTGATTGACTAACTTCAAGATTATGATCTTGTTTCAATTGAGAGATAATATCTTGTTGAGTTAGATTGTGTTGATGAAGATTAATAATAATATCTTTGTGAGAAAGAAGATATGAATAACCGGATGAAGGTATTTTAAAAGAAAGTGAAAGAAAAAGTATTCATTATTCTAAAATAAAGAAAAAATGAATGAATGAATGAATGAAAATATCATCACATCATAAAAAAAGTAAATAAAAAAATCAAAACAAACAGACAATGCACTAAACTAAGTAAGTTAGCTTGCTTTAACATAAAAAAAATTTTCAACAAAAAACAAATTAGTAGAATGATTGCTATAATCATAAAAAAAAAAAATTAATTTTCAGACTTAAAAAGCATGCACTCATCTGAGCTTCATCTCATTTACATAAATTCCTCTGAAGTCATTTTCTCTTTCAAGACTCTATGAGTCTGTTTATGAGCATTAATGTTCTTTTCTGAATCTTCAGTCTTTTGCTCACTTCATCATTTCTTTGTCAAATTTGAGTCAATTTGTTCTGCACAAAGCAGCATTTTCAAAACAGAAAGCTTCTGATTTGAAATTTTTTTAAAAAATTGATGATGACTGGCAGTATTGTTGAAAGAATGATGTCAGAATTTTTGAAAAAGAGAATTGCTGATATCTTTCCATGAGAGAATCCACTGCTTGTATAAAACAGCAGCAAGACTTTCTTCTTTTTTCATCAGTTTCATCTCTTTCTCATACGCAGTCTGGAAATCTTTCTCAGTTGACATATTTTCTTTATCAAACTGTTTTTCATCTTCCAGCCGCCATTTCACTTCTTGCATGGTGTCCTCAGAATGTAACAAATGATTCCATGCAGCGAGTCTGTAATAAATCATTAGAATGATTAATATAATGATTAGTAGAATATAGAACTTACTTTTTACTTGATTTTAAGATATCTTTCTGTCTCTGCTTCAGCATCAATGCTGTAATTCCTGTGCTAAGTCTATATTCTATTAATATTTATATTAACAAGATTTCAAGATTTGCTAATTATTTTTTATTTATGATCTCTGTTCTTTTATCCTCAATCATCTTCTTTTGATCTTTGATATTTGCCTCTCTGAATGCATTGATATTTTTCAACTATTGAATATGATAATTTACTGCTGCACGATCTGCATTCTTCATCTGTTCAATAGTGGCTTCCTTCTCATTCATTTTTTTCCATCATTTCATTGCTCTTTTTGTGTGAGGGTTAATCAACATTTCTTCTTCAGCTTTTCATTTCTGGCCAGCTGTGGCTCCAGGCTTTGGTTCGCGCCGTGTCATTTTGATAGAACAAGAAAAAAACTGATCTTAAAAGTGGGAAACAAAGAATCTGGCGCAGAAAGTAGTTGATTGATACAATGATTGATAGAATAAAAAGACAGACAGGCAGCAGAGCAGAAGTAGTGAGAAGGCAGAAAGAAGAATTGAAAGAATTGAAAATCAATGATGATATTCTTGTGATGTGTTGTTGCATTCATTTGATTGCCTATTTGAGCATATTTGTGTTGTTGTATTATTCATCAACTGCACATAACCACACACATAACTGCACACTCACTTCAAAGATCTTATCTCTTTGCTCTTTTTCTTTCTTAATCTTTTAATCTTCTCATTCATCTCATTCTACGCGCCTCTTCTCTGCAGAAATTTTTTAAATTTTGTTCTTATTTCAGCAATGTAAGTGAGCTACAGTTCATTGTTATACTAGTTATTATACTAATCAGTAAATAAGCAGCTAGAATTATCAAATTCACACAAAAATTACTCATATCAAAATGACTGCAAGAAAATGCGGTCAACAGAGAGGGGCAAAAAAAAAATATAGCCAGCAAGGCAAGAAAGAGGGGAAAGCATCCTCCAGGACAGCATGTAGCTCATGTGAAACCTCAACATCAATATTGTTGAAAAGCTGGTAGTAAGTAAAAGTATATTCATAGATTTTTTGAATTTGAATATCTAATTTAATTATTTTAGCCACTGCTCTTTGTGAAATTCGCTGTTATCAGTGTGATGTTGAGCTTCTTATTCACAAGCTTCCATTCCAGCGTCTTGTCTGTGAAATTGCAGCAGATATATATGATGATCTTTGATTTCAAGCATCTGCAATTCTGGCTTTGCAGGAGGCTGCAGAGGCGGTTTTGGTTGATAAATTCACAAGTAAGAAATGACTGGATTTTACAAGCTAATCTACTAATTATTATACTAATCAATGGGATATTAGTGACAAATCTATGCGCCATCCATGCCAAACGTGTTACCATTCAGGATAGGGATATGAAATTGATGCAGAGGCTGTGACAAATCATGACAGACAGTCACATTTCAGAACATGAAATTGATTATTAGTAGTTTCTTGTTGTTTTCATCTTTTATTCACTTTCTTTCACTTTTTGATTTTTTATTTTGATTTTTTGATGGTATTCATGAAAATGATTGTTTTTTGATTTTTTTGATTTAATTTTTTTTTTTTAACTTAATCAGAATGAAATGAGATGTTTCTGCAACAGACAAATCTTCATATAAATTTCTATTGATTAGTGTCTATAAGTGGAATTAAGTAATTACAGTGGAAAAACACAAAAAAACCTATTTGATTCAAATGTCACTATAGGCTGCTGTACTATAATGTAAACTGCCACACAACACACGCTGCCACACAACACACGCCTCAAAAAGCTGATTTTTGAACTCAATCTTCCATCTTCAATCATCTACAACATGTCAATCAAAGAAGCTGTAGAGCTCACAGTGGCTGAATTTCTTTCACAAGAGACTGGCAATTATACTACTGTTGCAAAAAAATACAGAATTCATCAAACTATGCTTATGTGACATGTTATGGGCAAATCAGTGTCTTGAGAAACTGCTGACTTTCTATATAGACAGAAACTTACAAACTCTCAAGAGGAAGAGCTTATTTGATATATAAATCATCTTATGGACCATGGCTTTCCTTCTACATCTTGAATTCTTCAAAATCTAGTTGAAGAAATTCTTCAGAAGCTGATTGACAAGCATTGAATCTCTAGATTTTGTCAACATCACAAGAATTACATCAAAAGTCTATATTTATGAGCAATTGATCAAAAATGCAGAAGAGCTGATAATTTTGAGTATTTTTAGCACTTTTTCCAGCTTGTATTTGATTGATTTTTATTTACATTGCCTGTAATTTAATGAGGAGTTGCTAATGCTTGAGCATCTTAGCTAGACAAAAAGGTCAAAAAATTCAACATTTGATCATCTAATATGTGGAATCTTGATGAGAAGGGCTTTCTTATGAGTGTCATGCAAATCAGCAAGTGAATAGTCTCTGTACAGCAGCTTAAGAGCAGGAGCTTGCTAGGCATGATTCAGAATGAGAGTAGAGAATTCATCTCTTTGCTAGCTGTCATATCAGCCAGTGAAAGGTCAATGCTGCAAGGTCTTATATATCAGTCAGACTCTAGAAATTTGCAAGATACATGGCTAGAAGATTTTGATTCTAAAGAGCATGAGATCTTTTTTGCTGTCTCTCTGAATGGCTGGAGCAGTGATCAATATAGATTACATTAGCTGCAATGAGTCTTTAATCCTCATACAAAGACTAGAAATGAAGCCTGGTGCCTGCTCATCCTTGACAGTTATTCTTCTCATGTCAATATGAAATTCATCAACTATGCTGATCAAAATTGTATTATTCTTGCTGTACTGCTGCCTCATTCAACTCATCACTTGCAGTCTTTAAATGTTGATATTTTTGAACCTTTATCAAAGACATACTCTCAGCAGATGAATTTATTCTTACACTCAGCAATGGGAGATGTATCCATTAAAAAACACAACTTCTTTTTATTATTCCACAATGCCTGGAAGCAAGCTGTCATGAAGTCAAATATAAAGTCTGAATTTGCTGCTACTGGTATTTATCCTCTCTCATCAGATCAGATGCTTAGCAAGCTTGCTAGACCAAGCACTCCAGTCACAGCAGAGCCAGTCACACCCACTACCATACGAGGACTGCGACGGGCAGTTAAGAAGTTAAATCAACAGTGAAGAATCTCTACTGGGTTTCAAAAAATTGTTCATGCTAGTGAAAGACTAGTTTTTGAAAAAGAGATTTTGCAGCATGAAAATAAGCTTCTATATGAAGCTTTATGAAAGGAGAAGAAGCACCACCAATGTGAAAAGCCTCTAGGTCTTGTGAATAAAGAGAATTTGCATGCTGCTCAATTCTTTTCATCTTCTAGAATTGCAGCAGCACATCAGCAGCTTGAGACTGATGAGGCTGCTAAGATTAGTGAGACTGCTGAAAAAGCAGCAGACAAGCTTCAACAGAATATATTATGTCAAGAGAAAGTGATTGTAAAAGCTGCAAAGCAAGTTGCAACTCAAGCTCTTAGGCTGGCTAATGCTCAGAAGTGAGAGAGACAAAAAGCTGAGATTGCTGCTTGCATGACTGCTTGTAAACTAGCTGCTAAGTGAAAGAAGACTGATAAGAAAGCTGCTTAGCAAGCTACTAGAGAGTTAAAGCTTTCTAGAGATCAAAATCTTGTTGCCACCATCAGATCAGTCAGGTCAGCCAAATCCCCTACAAAGACTGTATGAAGCCTGGGGCCTGGTGAAAAATCTAACCAGGCCAACTCTATACAACCTTCCCAATCTGGTAATCAGTCAATTGCATGCCTATCAGCAAGCTCTCTACAATCTACTTCTTCTAGCAGTTTCTTCACATTGCTGTCAATTCCTTCTTCACTCACTCTGCAATTATCATGTTGTGGCTGCGTTATTCAACTTCCATCTAGATTTTTAAATTAACTATATATTTTTATATGATCTATTCCTTCTACTAGATATATATTTTTAATTTAAATTAAATAAATTCATGGGTGGTTGAGAAATTGGTGGAATTCCTTAAGTGGTTACTATAAGAGGTTGAACCTCTAGATTCGCTCTGGCTGGCTGACTCAGCCTAGCCATTGTTTGCACGTGCGCACGTGATCATGCTATGCAAGCTTGCTTAAGCTTGAGTTCTCATCTCATTCTTTTCTTCCCTTTTTCAAGCAATTCATCCTTGTTATATAGGAGGACTAGCCTCTAGTTCTTAGAGCTTAACCCTTTACATTACGAATTGCTTCACTCCTTTCATTGATAGGCCACTGGGAGTCTTAATTCTGTATCATAAAGCTCAGCAAACATGCTGACATATGATAGACTATTGAGAGCCTTAAATCCTGCATCATGAAGTTCAGTGATAGCACTGGTATATGAATAGACTGGGTTAGCAATCATGCTAACAAATAAATGAGCAACATTGAAAATGTCTAGCTGAATGAGATAAAGTGACAGACTTGTACAACAAATACACAAATGAATTAATATGAAGCAATGAGCAGGGACACCCCCAGCAGCTTTGAACAACAATGGATGATCTTTCTTCAACAGCAGGAACAGGTTCAGCATGAGAACAGAGATTTAATAGCAGCTCAGCAAGCTGAAATAGCTAATCTACAACAAGCTTTGAACACTCTGACATCAACTCTCTCTCAATCAAACCTGCAACCACTCATTGCAGTCAGAAGACCAAAGATCAAGCTACTGAACTGTGAGAAGTATGATGATTTTAATCTGAAGCACTATTCTCAGTGGGAGCTAAAGCTTCAATCAAAACTTAAGATCAATGGGAAAGCTTTAGGTAATAATGAGAAATGTGCTTGATATGTGTACTCAAGACTGGAAGGAATGACAGCAGCTCAAGTTTACCCCTGAGTTGAGAATAATAAGAACAAGATCAACTTCACAGTAGAGAGCTTACTGAAGCAGACACACATGCTCTTTAGTGATTCTGCATGACAGAAAAAGGCTATGCAAAAGCTCAACAATCTATGATAGAGTAGAAGAGCTCTCTTCAACTTTCTGTCTGAATTTAATCAGCTACTGCTGGAAGCTGG